GGATAGACACAGAAACAGCCTGTTCTGAGCAGGGCTGAAATAGAGGGGTTTATAGGCATGATCAAATACAGGATCAGAGTGGATTTAGAACAAGAAACTTTACAAACATGTTTAGGGTAGTTCTGAGTCTTATTTAAACTGGTTGAAGAGGAGGAGCACATGTGAACTTTAATGTCACTTCCCCGTTTCCTGTGTTTTCAGACAAGTCAAATCCACTGGAGAAATCTGAGGTTGTGGTTCAGCTGCCCAGCAGTGAGCGGTTAAAGCCCTCCTACATTCATAGGTTCACACTTCATTTTTTCACCAAGAATACATAAAATAAATAATTAACACCTCACAAAGTTGTAACTGCTTCATATGAACACATTTATTGTCTCTGTTTATATGTCTGCAGTTTTGGTATGACAAAAAACTACTTTGTGTTCGTGGAGCCGCCGGTGAAGATAAACCTGCTCAAGTTCCTCTCGGCGTGGAGCTTCAGAGGAGCCACATACATGGACTGCTTTGAACCCAACGAAACCATGGGGGTAAGTCAGGCAGGGGGGTGGAGCAAAGAGTGGTTGTATGGTTTAGTAGTATCATGGATAGATGAGGGTTCTCAACCAGAACCTCTTTATAAAGCAAGGATCAAACATAATCCAAAGACATGAAAATGTACCAAAAAGACACAAAAACTAATCAAACAGAGCTCCTTAATGTACCACAATTAACACACCAATTGCAACAAAAAGCCAGAATGATCATGAAGAGATTTAAAATGTGCATAAAGAGACATAAAAAGACCCCTACCCCCCTCAAAAAAAAAGAAAAAGTACTTAACTGTGACACAAAACAAACCGAAATACAAAAAAGTCAAAGGCATGCTAAGCGGCCAAAATTGACAAGAAACAACTTAAGCTGTCAACTTTAACACGTGTGATTCACCTAGAGACTTAAACACTTCAATGCAAATTAAACAGGACTTTACACATTTACAGAGAGCCTCATTCACTTTAATTTTCCTTCAAAACAAATAAAATGATCTTATCTTATTGCAAAATCATGCATAACACATTTGTGCAGCGTTAACACACCATCAGTTTCTGTGTTTGCATTCATATGTTGGGGAATAGGCGCCTCTGTATGTGCAGTGTTGTGCACGATGAGCAAGGTGAGCTTAGATTATTTTGGCTGGGCAGCAGGGGCGGATCCAGGGGGAGAGCCAGGGCCCACTTAAAATCTGATATGCCACCCAAAAAACAACATCAATATGGGCTGTGTTGAAACAGGCTTCTAGTACCTTTCTTTGTGTTTCCATGTGGCTCATTACGAGTTTAACATTTTATAAAGTAAATACTGGTGTGTTTAAATGTGCGATTAATCGTGTTTAATCACCAGCCTCGACTGTGATTGATCAAAACGCTCAAAAGTCAATTGACAGAACAGCAAAGCATAGACATAGAGTTACAGCAAAGAGATGCTAAACCTGTGAATGCAAAGACATAAACAACTGTGAGGTTTGTTTGGTATTAGACTCATCAGGTAAGACCCAAAAACCAACACAAAGGGAACAAAAAGAGGAGCAAGATGACAACAATGCAACACTATCAGCCTTAAAGACACAAGAAGCTTTTGGACATAAACCCCAAAAACATCTGCAAGAAGAGTATGAAGAGATGCAAAATGTTACCTAAGTGAGCCCAAGGGGAAAAAAAGCAAAATAACTTCAAAAAGACACAAATTACTACAAATAAATGCAACGTTCAGCTCGTTCAGGAGTCTGTTGTAGTCTGTCTGTTGAAGTTGTTTGTTTTTTGGGGGTTTCATTGATTACACGTGTTCATATATGTATCAATGTGTGTTTTTGTAGACGTGGTTCCACCTCGCCACAAAGGACCCAGCAAACTATCTGAGCAACCACAAGTTCAGAACTTCAGCTTTCAACATCTTTCACCACATCAACACGTACGAGGAGGAGGAGGGATTCATCGTGGTCGACGTCTGCACCTGGAAAGGGTGAGTGTGTGACCCTGTGTGTGTGTGCGTGTGTGTGTGTGTGACCCTGTGTGTGTGTGTGTGTGTGTGTGTGTGTGTGTGTGTGTGTGTGTGTGTGTGTGTGTGTGTGTGAGTGTTTAAAGAATAGCGTTATAATCTCGTCCTCACATCTCTCTCTCTCTTTTTGTTGGCACAGTCATGACTTTGTGTATAACTACCTGTACCTGGCCAACCTGAGGGAGGACTGGGAGGACGTGAAGAAAGCAGCCATGAGAGCTCCTCAACCCGAGGTCAGACGATACGTACTGCCGCTGGATATACATCGGGTGAGTCTACACCACACACACACACACACACACACACACACACACACACACACACACACACATGCACGCACACCATTGTCCAAGACAAATGATTAAAGTAGCTATAATAACACTTTCTAACATGTTTTTTTTGTTCATTGATAAAAAGGTGTATAGATTATTATTTCATTTATGTATTATCCTAAATGTTTTTCAAGAAGACGGCCTTCTTTGTTGCGAGGATATTTATTGATCAAACAGTCACACATTCTTCCTTTAAACAATGAGCCCTGAGATCTGCAGAGTCCAGAACTGAATAATACACACATCCATGATCCTACATATATCTGCATATCACTATGGTATTACGCCCCCTGGTGGATCTTATTAACACTCTTCTCCAACTAAATCCCAACTTCCTGTTTTAACATGAGCATAACCTTGTTTTAACAGTTAAGTTAGAAGGTCTGAATACCTCTCGTGTTTTTTGTGTTTGTTCTCAGGAGGAGCAGGGGAAGAATCTGGTGTCTTTGCCCTACACTACAGCTACTGCTGTTCTTCGTACTGATGGCACCATCTGGCTCGAACCTGAAGTCCTCTTTTCTGGACCCAGACTGGGTAACACACACACACACACACACACACACACACACACACACACATACACTGCACACATACACATCTGTGCATACAATCCCTGGAAGTCTTCCCATTAAAGTACGGAGCAAAGTTGTAGGATGCCCATCCCGGCAGCGCTTTCGAGGACACACCCACCCGGAAGCTGACTCAAATTTACCTATGACCAATGGCTTTCCTATGGTCAATCAGGGGGAAGTGGGCCCGTGTGGAGGGGGGCCTTAAAGAGCCAGTAGCTGAAATGAACCGTTTCAGGTAGAGGATTTAAAAATAAGGGATTTAACTGACACCAGTATCCGATAAATAAGGAGGTTTTTACACGTCTCGTAATGCGACTCAGTAAGTGTCCCAGACTGACATAATTAATGGTGAAAGTGAATAAAAAATATCTACTTTAAAATACAAAGTGTGGCTATAAACTCTGTGTATCACATCTATCTTGTTGTCTCTCCTTCTCTCATGCAGCTTTTGAGTTTCCTCAGATTAACTACTCTCTGTGCAGCGGGAGGAAATACTCCTTCACTTACGGCCTGGGACTCAACCACTTCATCCCTGACAGGGTGAGAGAGAGAGAGTGGCCTTCAGTAAACACATCGTCTGTCTCCCTACCTTTATGAAATCTAAAAAAACGTCTTGGTGATGTCGTCGTTGTCTTTGCTGACTTGTTTTAGATCGTGAAGCTGAACGTTCAGACCAAGGAGACCTGGGTGTGGCAGGAGGACGAGTGTTACCCTTCAGAGCCGCTGTTTGTATCCAGACCTGGAGCTACAGAGGAGGACGACGGTACAGAAGACACAGAGTTACACTTTCAAACACCGGATAAACATCAACCCAAATGAAACCCTTAGATACGCATTTATCCATCATGTCTGTGAAGGAACCTTATCTTCTGTCTTTGTGCTTCAGGTGTGCTGCTGAGTATTGTGGTGAAGCCGGGTGCAGAGAGACCAGGCTTCCTGTTGGTGCTGGACGCCATGAAACTGACTGAGCTGGCCCGGGCGACAGTCAACACCATCATCCCTGTGACCCTCCACGGCCTGTACAAACCATAAGCCTTCATCCTTCGGACTCTAAATAGTGGATCTCTGAACATATCGTACCCCGAACAGTGACTTGAAACGAGGCAGTCGAACAAAAGTATTTACAGCAACTGTCATCATTTCTGAGGGAGCCGAGAGAACAAGAAGTGATGCTTAATGTTATCTTTTGACTATTAAAGATTTTTATATATGCAAGGTGCAGGGGCGTGTCCAGACTTTTTGGAGTAGGGTGGCCCGACTGGGGCATGCCACCCCTAAGTATGAGATCTGGTGCCTGGTCGAGTGTCACTGTTCATATCTTATGTTATTGTTTCTATTTGCCCTTATGTTATATTATATTATACTATTATAAGCGTTTAACCTGTTTTGCTTTAGTTGTGTTTATGTTTGCATCCTCTCATTTAAATAAAGGACTCTGCCTAAGATTTAAAATCTCTCACTTCTTTGATTTTAAGAGATTGATTTAAATATTATCTTTTGTTTGATATTTATTTTTGGGGCTTTTTATGCCTTTATTTTAGAGATACAGTGGATAAAGTCAGGAAACAGGAATAGAGAGTGTGGGGAACAACATGCTGGAAGGGAGCCACAGGCCGGATTTGAACCAAGGCTGTGCGGTCTCGAGGACTTAAGCCTCTGTACATGTGGCGCACACACTAACCACTAGGAGACTGGCTCCCCTGATTTAAATATTCAGGGTCATAACTTGTATGTTTATGTAACAGTCATCGGATGTAACATCAGAGTAGCATTTTCCACCTTCATCGAGGACAAAGTTCACCTCAGAAGCAGGTTTTTGAACCGCTGTTCGGACCAAAAATAAGTTTGAAGGATTATTCATAAAACTTGGAGAAAGAACACTTGGAGCAAGGACACTCAATGATTATATATTTATTCTCAGGTATGCGCTGAGCTTGGCAGATTTTGCAACTTTGACTGAAGCGTCTCCAGAGTCTGTCCTGCAACACTCCTCCTTTGAAAGTGTGTGGGGTTTGATGTGAATTGTTTGGAGAGCTTAAGAAAAAATTGAGCATAAAAAGGGACGATGAGTGGCCTGCAGCTTGTGAATCCCAGAGTGAAGGGGATCAGAGTTTCATCACACAGCGAGCTGCAGAGTCTGGCTGCACAAATCACACAGGTGAGTGAACGTGATTGGATTTAGCGTACGTTTGATCACAACTTGATAAAAATGGATTTATATAGGCTATTTGTTTGTATGTGTTTAAGGTCGTAATTCAAGAGGGTCATGTATGTTCAAAACCTGTAAAGCTAAAGCAGTGGTTCCCAACCTTTTTTTTTTGGCTCGTGACCTCACTTTGACGTCACAAATCTCTGGCAACCCCCGACATCCAAAGCAGAGTGGGATGTTCTGACACAGGTACAACTTCACCAACTAGCAAGGTAAATGAAGATTGAAAGGCTTGAAGAGGTCCAGCAACACTTGTCGTAACAAATTAGACCGACATGATTCGGCTCGTGGCCTGCAGGGTCATCCCCGGACATCCAAACAGCGGAGTCGGCTGGACAGGGCTTGGTTGGGATACAGCCATACCAAGAATAATTTTAGCCCCACCATCAAACAACCACGAAAAATAAACCAAAACAACCCGCTCCACTTTAATTTACTTTTAAATGCTATAACACTGACATGGTCCAACTGCATCTCCACAACCCAACAGCGCTGATTCAGTGAAGTGAAGTGATGCAGAGTCTAATACAGCATCACACCTAACCCTGATCTGAGTTCAATAGAAGATCTGTCATTCACAGAGGCGCTGCTTGTCAACAGCAGAATTGACAGTAGGAAACCTCCCTAATGGGGCCCCATCTGACAGGAATTATCTGTCTGGGAGTGAAAGAGGAAGAGGAATAGTGTCAGGACACTGGAAGACATAATGGTAGTTGGAGGGGCCCCCAATAAAATTTTGCCTAGGGCAAGTTATTATCTTGATGTAATGTGTTTCTACCAGCAGGGGGCACTGCAACCCTTTAAAGAGGTGATCGATGTCAGCTCAGATGATCTCCACAAAGCAGGAATGAAACCTGTCTCATTTGTTCGCCAGGTCAGTCTTTTTGTTTGTTTTTGTTTACATCAGGAAACTACTTCCTCAAACTTGTCGGACACTATTTTTAACAAACTGAAATACTAAAATGTGTTTTTGTTTGTTATTTTAGGATATTGTCCTATTATGGTTTCCTCTGGTATCATTTTAAGTAACTCCATTTGTATATTGACTGCAGCTGTTTTTGATTCGCCACACTTTTGAACGCTCATATGATGATGCTTGATTATTTTCTTCATCAACAGCAGCTGCTAACGTTAGCAATGAGGTTAGAAAAGCTATTTTTCAGGAACTATTTATCCATAAATATGATCCAAATTCAACAGGATCTAAAAAAAATAAAGTGATCAAGTTGTGTCATCAAAGTGATCAAAAAACACTATAGCTTACTTTATGTTCTGAATTCTCTATGTGCTTTGCATGTATCCCATATTTGGGCTGTTTTTCTTCTCAGGTCTTGTCAGTGTGTTTGTACCCCGCGCTCTTACAGGACAAAGATCTGCCTCTGGATGTCAGGCTCAGGGCTCAGAGGTTCCTGGAGGTCTGCGATGGAGGAAGTATTGGTGAGGTGTTTTCTGTTGATATTCTTTTTTTTTTAAGAAAGAAAGAAAAATAACACATCTAATGTTTGATCAAATAGGTTCTTACACAGCCTCCTCTGGCATGTGGTACGTCAGGCAAAGCGTGGCTGAGTTCATCACGAGACGAGACGCTGGGGTGCCCTCATACGCTAAAGACGTATTCATTTCTGGTGGCTCTCAGAAGGCCCTCATGGTAAAAATATACGATTAATATCACTGTATCAGAATGTTTGCTGTCTAGTTAACATCATGAGAAATATCAACTTTTCAGAAAGCCTGCAGCTGCACTTTGGAGGCATGACTGCAAAGATTCAAATCTTACCATGCATTTATCTAAACTGAAGGGGGGTTAAGTCGATAGTTTTTGTGTTAAATGTTAATTTATCTGCCAAATATATGTAAGAGTATATTTTTACATCTTCCTGTAAAACGTTCAATCTTTTGGCTTCATTTCGAGGGACGTGATGTGTTGTCCATCTTTGTAGACTGTTTTTGATGTAAACTCTCAGTGCTGAAGTACCTCACAGCCAGTGGCAATTCCAGAGCCTGTTGGGGCCCAAGGCAAAAGTTAATTGGAGGCCCCTCCAACCATGATTATAGCTACCAGTGTCCTGACGCTCTTCCTCTTTATTTGATGATTCCTCTTCATTTTCCTTCAGTGATTTTTATTGACAATCTTTGGTTTTTCACAGGAGTAATACTTGAGACGCTAAAGCAGGGCAATGAGAGTGAGTGCTGTCAGATGGAGCCCCATTAGGGGGGGTTTCCTACTGTCATTACTGCTGTGGTTTGAAGTTTGTCACCCCATGATGGCCCTCAAGAGGCCTGGGGCCAAAACAGGCCTGGTTCTACGAGGGTTCTTCAAAATGAGGGCGCAATTCAACATTTTGCACCCTCATTTTAAATTTCTGCATTTCAGTATGGCAGTAGCTCACAGCAGTAGGTACTAAGGATAGGTTTGACATTTTGATCATTTCTCTTCAGGTGATAGTGAGACTGATATCCACTGTGGAGGGGGAGACTCAGACAGGTGTTTTGACCCCGTTGCCCTGTCCTCACACCATACCCGCCCTGCTGGACGAGGCCGGGGTGACGCTAGAGCCGTACAAGCTAATGGGGGACCAAGGCTGGGCTGTCGATCTGAACGAGCTACACCGAGCTTTAAAGGTCGCTAGGGGGCGCTGTAACCCAAGAGCTATTTACATCAGCAACCCAGGAAACCCTACAGGTAAACGGCAAAGAAAAACAACATTAAAGCTGCCTGTTCAAATCTCTTTGTTGTCATTACCTTTAGTTTGCTGATGTTTGTCTTCACAGGTCATGTGCAGGACAGAAAGTCAATTCAGGAAGTGATCCAGTTTGCAGCAGCTGAGAGACTCCTGTTGTTGGTAGACGAGGTAACAAAACAACAATTTTTTTTCACACAAATTGCTGAAAATGTCTACAACATTTCTGAAAGCCTGCCCCTGAAATCTTCCAGAGTTGCTTATTCATCGATGTCCCTCTCAACGTGAAGTTCTCTCTGTCTGACAGGGAGGGCAGGAAGAAAGTCTTAACAGAAAAACATGCTGCGTAAATCCAAAATGGCAGACGTAGAGACAGGGTTCGGTTCTATAAAGACAGTATTTTTTTCCTTTTATGTAATTACTATCAGAGCCAGTTCATGGGGAATTTTCTGAATATTTCCTGCTGTGTTCACACATCAGTTCAACCTGACCTCTTGCAGAAAATTTAGGCGGTTGGCAGAACAAAGTACGGATGAAGTCAGGGGTGAATAATTTGGCTCTTGGTGTTCACACATGTAGCTCGGAAAGTCTCCCAGCAGGGAAGGTGTGCGGGAGCAACTCAGGTAGGTTTCAGGGACATGCTGTCCTGAAAATTTCTGGAGTGCATGTGTGAAAAAGGTTCATTTATAGAGGACATATTATACCCCTTTCCTACCTTTTCAAACTGTCCCCTGTGGTCTAAATGAAACATCTGTGCTGTGCTTTGGTCAAAATTAACATGAATCAAGCACCAGAGGAGGTTTGTGACCTTGTATAAAGCAGCTCTCTCAGAATGCTCCGTTTTGGTGTGTGTGTGTCTCTTTAAATGCAATGAGCCCCCCCTGAGTTTTCCCCGTTAACATCACTCCTTCGCTAGCGAATAAAAATGGCGGACCTGCTCAAAAGTTTTGTTTTAGGCTGGGGGTGGAGTCCATGGGTGGAGATACCAGGGGAGGGGAGGGAATTTTTTTTTTACCAGAATCCCACTGTGACATCACAAGGAGAGCACATTTGAAACAGAGCATTTTTCTTGTGTTATAAGACTTATGCAGACCACAAACAAAGGACTGGATGGGTTTATTTCACATTTTGTGGGTTAGTAGACACTCAGGTCACCCAAATATATGTTCAAAAACACTGTACAAGTGGATTTTTCATGATATGTCCCCTTTAAGAAATCATGTTTTAGAAGAAGCATTTAACAAGATCATTAAGTTTCTTGGTATTCCATGAATTATATGTTTTAAAATAACATGAACATATCTTGATAAAACAAGGCAAACATCTTGTTAGAACAATTAACTTTTCAAGTCATAACTTTTTAATATTTGTATCATTCTCCCGATGGCAGCAGTAAGTCCATTCATGAATGTCGTTCCCTTGTGCTCCAGGTGTACCAGGACTGTGTGTTCGGACCGGTCACAGAGTTTGTTTCCTTCAAGAGAGTCCTGTTTGAGATGGGCAAAGAGTACTCTGAGAAGGTGGAGTTGGTCTCCTTTCACTCCCTTTCCAGCGGCACCATGGGAGAGTGAGTTCTCTCTCTTTTACCTGCAGACAGTTTTAGTGTGCTAGCATGTAAGAATGACTAAATAACTTGTCTGTGTACCAGCAGGTGTGGTCTGAGGACCGGATACATGGAGCTGATCAACATAGACCCGGAGGTGAAGCATTTTGTGGATACGTGTCTGTGCACTGATATCTGCGCTCCAGTCACAGGACAGCTCGCTCTGCATATCATGGTCAACCCACCGACACCTGGAGACCCTTCCTATGACGCATACACACAGGTGACACATCTGTAGAGCCCTGTGTGCTTAGAAGAGATTATGAAAGAGAATCAAGTGCTGCTGCATTTATTCCTCTATGTTTCCTGACGTCGGATTTACATTCCTACTCAAAATACTGTGTTTTCTTCTTCAAAGAAGATTCTTCTCACTCAGGCCACTTTGTCCCAGAATGCTCAGCGGGCTCAGGAGTTCCTGAATGATCTACCCGGGATGAGCTGTGAACCAGCGATGGGCGGGATCTACCTTTACCCCTGCCTGCGTTTACCACCTGAGATTTTAAAGCAAGCAGAGGTGGGAATATATCAAGGACCTTTTCAAATACATGTAGAGAAAAATATGGTATTGTTTGGATGTTGTAAGGCCAATAATGATAACACACTGTAAATATTAACATCTCTGTTTTTAGGTATCAGAGGTGGAGGCGGACGTTCTGTACTGCCAGAGGTTGCTGAAAGAAGAAGGCGTGTTATTAGGAGCTGGATGTCAGAATGGTGAAACTACAACCGAACACCATCTGAGGTGAGTACACATGAACGCTGAAACATCGACGGGTATGTTTTTATTCCTCCAAAGAGTGACTGTTTCATGTGTTTTCTCTCAGGTTACGTTTCCACGTTCCTCCTGACACGCTGGAGGAGGTCCTGGCTCGACTCGGTTCTTTTCACCTTCGCCTCTTTGACGGTCTTCCTCACGCTGACAGACGAGTGAAAGACACGGAGGCGGGGCAAAAATATAAAAAAGGCATGGAGCCAACCTGGGGAAGCACAGATCCTGAACCCAAATGTTAAGACTGCAGTTCATAAAAGGCAAAAGCTCAAAGGAGCTTATTAATATTTTTGATTATCAACCAATTAAATTATAACTTTTAGCACTTTAAAGTGTAAGAGGGGGCGTGTCCAGAGGGGTTGCATGGGCCCCCCTCTTGAAATCAGATTGGCCACCCCAAAATCCCAAACTAGGAGTTGCTATTTACCTTATCAGAGGCGGGTAGGGATGTAAAGGTGAATCGTAAAATTATATTAATAAATCGATTCAAGGGTGTCAAAATAACATGGTGAGCGTCAGCAGCTGTAGAGCAAGATTTTGAAATTTTGGACGAACTACTGTCTTTTAAATCAGAGGTGTGGAAGCAGTTTGGCTTCACTAAGACAGAAAATGAAAGAGGTGAGAAGATAACAGACAAGACAAAATAGCACGACCAACATGATGCAGCATTTAATCGACACCACGACGAGACGCTCCAATCACCTCCCCTTGTTGAGAGGAAAAAACAAACCAAAGTGACAAGTGGGTTTGCAGCCCCTAAAGGAATCTTTTTTCAATCATAATTTGTCAACAGTCTCATTTTGTAAAATAAATCGTGAGTTGAGTGAATCTTTACGTCCCTAGAGGCGGGACTTAATTTAAAATTAAACTATTCTGGCTGCTTAGCTCTCTCAGTTTAAAAAAAAAAAAATACTGTGCACATTTATGTATGGATAAGACACTTTTAAATTACATTTGTTCATATATGTATCTTTTGTCAAATGTCATCCTGTTACAAAAAAAACAACATTTAGTTTTTGGGAAATATTTTTAATTCAAAATTTAAAATTGCACCTCATCATTTCATCTATCATCAATAAAAAACAACACATGCTTTAGCAATTTAAAATGTATTTACACTATTTTAATAGTCTTTTATACAAATATGTAAAAATACATTACGGGGTTAAATTACAGGTGTAATTACAGGACATGATATGTGGCTAAAGGGACAATCAGTGCTAAACGTTGGGGCTCTGATCACATGATGATCTGTTTAAAAAAAGAAGCTAAATCTCTCTTGAACTTAAGGCAAGGCTTAAACGGACCCATGAGGCCAGCTGCATTTTTCACCAGACCACAGACTTATTTTATAAAGGACTTTAAATTACCCTCAGAAGAAATCTACAAACAAAACGAAAATACAAATTCTACCATTTTCCAAACACTTTCAGGGTTTTAATCATTTGTTTGTTTCATGTTTTGATTTCTCATCACATTGCAGACTAAGGTTTCTTTCTTGATACCAAAGGCTCTAAATGATACAATCTTAGTTTCTTTAATGATTAATAGTTTCAAAAAGTACCAAAGATTTAATCGAAAATATTATAATCTTCAGACTTGTTTTAACCCAAAGCTGCTAAAATAAAGAAAGAGCAGCTGTGGTCTGTTCAAATTCACAGGTGGGCTGAACAAGACGTGACTGAAATAGTTTTGGTGTTTAAGTTACACTACGTCTCTTACAGAGTACAGAGGAGGGGACACTGTCTGCATGCCACGGTATTTGTGCAATTTAGACAGCGTGCAGGAGTTAATCTGTAATTTTTGGTAATTAAAAACCCAAAATGAGCTAATTTTTGACGCTTGGACTTCCATTTTGTTGCTGTGGTATCAAAAGAGGTATCAAGGAAGTTTGATTTTACTTGTATCATATCATAGTTTAAAATTCTGGTGTCATCACCCCCACTTTAGAGGCTTTCATTTAAACCAACCAAGAATGTGCAGATGCCTGGATACAGTGTTCACATTTAACAGGATCCTGGTTTTAATCCCAGTTTCTGAGTCTACAGAGTTTACATTCTCACACAGAAACCTGATACTCTCAGAACCTGATGAGAACCAGGGTAGGTATCTGCATGTTATCACACTCTTAAATTAAAAAAAAACCTTAGAAGAAGAGCACAATCATTCAGAGCGTCTTACAAACGTTTCCTTCAATAACCAGTCTGTACAGGACGGAGTTTTGTGTGAATCCTCTTGGCACATGTTGGTGAGAGTCACTTATGAGCTGAGGCAACCAGCAGTTTGATCTAAAGGAGCAATATGTAACTCTGACACCTAGTGTTTAAAATGGGTACTGCAGTTCAAATTGAAAACATTGTAGAGAGCTGTCTCCCCCCGCCCCCTCCTCTCTAGAGTTGATGCTCACGCAGGTTGCCATGTGGTGGACGCTGAAGCTTCAGTGTTTAGCCAGCTCTGCATAGGTCTGTAAACCTTTCTGCGTTCTAATCTCTCTCCATTTTTCAAAAGCATCTCCAATATTGATCCTAGTTTGAGCACGTTTCTGCTCGTGGAGCTTATTAGAAACATGCAGAGGCTTTTTATGTCGGGTACAATCACTTCTATCTGAACCACTTCTCTTACCCACTTCCATCGCTGCAACACCTGTTGGTTTGACCTGATAACTGCTCTCATATCTGGCAAACCAAGGGGTGTCCAAAACGGCCGTCCAAAATGGCCGTGTGGGGGTGCCTTAAAACCGCCTTATACCTTCCTGGTCCAAAACAAATCCAGACCATTCAGAACCAGAATCTAAAGTTAGAAGACATACTTGCTGCTGCATTGTTGTCAGAGAAGCCAGCACTTCAACATAGCATGTTTCCTTAATGTCTGATCATATAGTAAGGTCATTGTATGGTTTCATTCACTAGATATCTTACATATTGCTCCATTAAGAGATATACAGAGGTTTGTTTTGTCCAGAGGAGGTAATGATTCTCTATATACGCAGAACAGCCGACTGTAGTTTCTCTGTGGAGATCTGATACTGCTTCTGTTGGATGATGTCCAGACAGTCTCTGAGAACCTGCACACAGAAACACAACATGTGAAATGTAGCTGGCAGCCTGTGTTGTTTAAAAAAAAGAAAGAGGAACTTGCTTTGAATGCATTATTCACAGATTTAATGTGTCAGGCTGTTGAACAAAATGTTGTCATTTTACCATCCTGGTGTCCTGAGGCAGAATGACTCCATCGTCCCAGAGCCGGCCCGAGGAAAAGAAGGCTGAGCTCTCCTCTTTTAATTTCCTATTTAACTTGTCCTCCTGTTTCTTCTGCTCCTCCTCCTCCTCCTCCTGCTGCTGCTTCTCACTGTTTGAGGAGAGCAGAGAGTCGGAGTGACCAGGAGCCGCCATCGACACTCTGGCGTTTGGCCACAGGAACAGGAAATTAGGATCAAAGGCTCGTCCACACTAGATACAAAAATAAGTTAAAAAAGATCATTAACGTCTGTATCCTTTAATCCTGCGAGAACATCATGAAGGATTTATGAACCAAAAACTTCTATGACAGATACTTTTTTTTTAAGATTTATTTTTAGGCTTTTTTTTGCCTTTAATGGAGAGACAGGACAGTGGAAAGAGCTGGAAACTAGGGAGAGAGAGAGTGGGGAATGACATGCGGGAAAGAAGCCACAGGCTGGATTCGAGCCCGCGCTGCCCGCTTGGAGGACCACAGCTTCCATACATGGAGCATGCATGCGCACCAACCACTGCGCCACCAGCGCCCCTATGACAGATACTCTTAAGTAAACATTTTATACATTTCAAATTCACTTCTGCATTGACATTTGACCTTTAATTTCCAGCTCCTAAAAAAAGTAACTTCAGAAATGTTTCCTGAGGCTCTCACCATGGCGTAGCTGTCGGCACCGTGGCAACCACCAATCACAACAGTGATTTTGGGGACTGAGGCACATGCCACTGCTGACATCATCGACCCCTGAGCCTTCAGACGGTTAGTGTTTGTTTCTGCCTACAACAGAGACACAGACGAAGAGATATGAAATAAAAACATTTATAAGTGCACCTTTATTCTCTCTTTTATGTTCTGTATTGACTTGATTAAAAATCTGAGATAAAGCCTGCACCCTTTGGTGGTAAAAAAAAGAAAGACTCTGAAACATGTGTTAATGCAAGCTGATGAGGGATTCTCTTGGAGTTTTTACCTGTGCTAGAGAGAGCGTCAGAGCTGCTGCGGGTGCTGTGTTCTGGAGGAAGAGGAGCGGGACGTCTCTCTGGTCACACAACTGCACAAAGTGGCTTCCTTTCAGCGCGGCCTCGTTTGACAGCTCTCCGTTGTTGGCTATGATTCCCACCAGGTGACTAAAACGTGGAATTTAAATAGACAAACACTCAAACGTCTCACATGCTTGGTAAAATACAATGAAAGCTCGAGCTGTGCTGCTCAGACTAGTGTTGTAGTCAAGACAACACTAACCAAGCCCACGACAGGCTCAAGACCAGAGAGCTCTGAGACAAGACCAAGACCATAAATATCACTGAAACATCATCATCTTGTGTGCAGGGGGCGTGTCACTCACTTAGACCTTAACACCAAGAAGGTTGCGGCAGTAACCGGGGGCTAAAAACCAAAGTATATATTAATTGAAGTTATATTTTGTTTTAGAAAGAGGCGTTTTCCTTCTAAGCACAGTGATGACGTGGAAAAATAGCCTCTCAGTGGTGGTCTTGATTTAAAATCCAGAGTCCGCCCAGTCTGAGACCGAGACAAGACCGAGTAAAAATGCTTTAGATTCCAAGACGAGACAGAGTCCTTCAAAAAGTGGTCTTGTGACCGGTCTTGAAACCAAGGCAGCTTTCCAGTTCTACAACACTCAGACAAACTCAATGTGTGCAGGAACATGTTCCTCTGAGTGTCAGGAACACAAAAAAGTTATTATTCAAAATATCTATTCTTATCAGATCAGTGAGGTTGAGCATTAAAGGTACATTTCACGTATGAAGCTGTTGGTCAATGGTGGAAGCATCAGAGTTTTGTTTTGGACCTGATGAGTACTGATCTGATTAAGAAGTCCTTGAGGGCAGGTTGTTAATCCTTGAGGCTGGCGGGGAATAATGGGAGTGATTCTCTCTGTCTTACCCTTTATCTCCTTTGAAAACATATCAATACATTAAAAACTTGATATATTGCCCAGCTGTAATGAGTGTGTGTGTGTGTGTGTGTGTGTGTGTGTGTGTGTGTGTGTGTGTGTGTGTGTGTGTGTGTGTGTGTGTGTGTGTGTGTGTGTGTGTGTGTGTGTGTGTGTGTGTACCCGTGTATCTTTCCAAAGCCGGTGATGAGTGTGGTCCCGTAGCGAGCTTTAAACTCCTGGAAGCGACTCCCGTCTGTCAGCCGACTGACTACCTGAGCACACAGATAAACAACCCACATTTTTTATAATTCTGGATTTAGCGAGAGAGTCACATGGCAGCTATGACCCTGAAGAACCTTTTCAACAGACCGTACATTTCTGCTTCATGGTTGGTCTTTGTTTCCCCTCTATTTCAGCCCTGCTCAGAACAGGCTGTTTCTGTGTCTGTAGCTTTAAATGTAATGAGCTGTGTCTGACCACGCCCCCTCTCTGGTAGGGCTCGGGTGTCTCGGGCTTTCTCGCTCCATGTCATATTGTTTACGGTGAGAAGGCAGACTCAGAGGGAAGAACAAACACCTAGCTGTGGGAGGGGCTACTGCCCTTTGTGATGTCATGAAGGGAAAATCTCCAAACGGCCTGTTTGAGCACACATTTTCTGAAAAGTGGAGCAGGCAGAAGACAGAGAGGATGGACTTTTCTCACTATTTAGGGGTTTATAGACAGACTAAGGACACATATTAGTGTTAGAGAAACATGGTGAAGTGTACTTTGCATAATATGTGACCTTTAATATTAAAATGCTGAGCTGTTTTCAGGCGTTTTCAAGGTATCAAACTAAATAATTCAACTAAATAACAACCAAGCATGTAAAGAGTAATTAAAGTGTTTTCTAGGAGTGTGCATAACCATGGCAACACATTGTTTAAGGTCAAATGGATTCTTCTCCATACTTTAGACTTGTTGTACAAAGAAAGCGAAACGCTCTAACTATTTGTCGTTTTGCACACTGTACCATTTTAACATCCAGACTGTAGTTGTAACTTCTTGGAGCGAGCCCCAGGAGCTCCTCTGAGCTGTACAGAGGCTCCTCCTCCTTTTTCCTCCTCTTAGTCGCCTCCTCATCCTCCTCCTCTTCATCAGGAAGTTGGAAGTTGAGCGTAGAGATGATGTTTCTGGTGCAATCGTACGCCTCCTTCTCTTCCCAGGCGAAATGGTCCACACAGCCGCTCACTCTGAAACCACGAGATGGACATGATTGATTAGTACGGTTATTTATTCAATATCAGAGTCTTTGATGCTCTTAATTAAATTGACGTACTCTGCATGAAGTCTGGCTCCTCCCAGGTCTTCTGGTGTGACTTCCTCTCCCGTGGCGGCCTTCACAAGGGGCGGCCCGCCCAGGAATATGGTCCCTATCCGGTGCACCATCACTGCCTCTTCTGCCATAGTTGGGATATAAGCTCCACCCGCCGTGCACGAGCCACACACCACTGATACCTTCAGATTTAGAAAGATATGTGTTTGTGTGTGAGAATAAAGAACAAGGGATCAAAGCAGACTTCACATGGAAGTTTCTTTATCTCTCATATTCATTTGGTCCTCGTGCCATTAGGTAAAGTTATAGATGAAATATTTTTGATGCAGTTGTTGCCGAGGTTCTCCTAGGTACACTCTTTCTTTTAACTTTAAACACTGATTTTAATGACACAAATGAAGGATGCCGCTCAAACTGAGAAATAGATATTACTTTTAACTTACCAAAATAAAATGCACGGGGAAAAAGTATTGCAAAGCAACTTTGGATAATATGTACAATCCATTGTTTTCCATGACCGCTCGGCTATATTGCGAGGTCAGCTATGTCATTTGTTTCGTACTTATACCCACACATTTTTTATGTTTGTATCCTCCCTTGTTAAAAAAAAAGGCCTCTACTGCTCTTGATTTCTTTACCTGCGGGATCTTCATGGCTGACATGATGGCTTCATTATAAAACGTCCGTCCACCCTGGTTCTTATCGGGAAAGATCTCTGACTGCACATTTTGTACAAACACATAAAAAGAGAGTTAGAGATTAAAACAACAGGCAGCCAAATTCAGCTTACATTCAAACCTCCTGAAAAGACGCCTCTACATCCCTGTGTCAACCCTTATACGGTTTCATTCAGAAATAGATCTCTGCGGCGGGCACTGGGCATGCTTGTGCTGGTGTGAACAGGAAGGAAAATACATAAACTGAGGAACAGCAGCGTAGCCCAAAGGTTCCTTTGTTTGGACTGAAATCTTACAGACGCACAACATGTAAAACATCATGACTGATACAGGGGAGTTAGTTTGGTTTCATTATCAGGTATTTTTGAACCAAATAGTTCTGGGGACTTTTTGAAAAGGACCTATCCACCAGTGGGTTCCCTGAGAACTACACACCATGGGGACTTTTTTTTTTACTGTCTGCCATCGCACCACCACGGTGACACATAAACTTTAAGGTAAGATTTGAGATGCAGTTGCATTCTCAAAGTCTCTGTTGAAGGTGACAGTGTGCCAGAGTAGCTTGGACGCTTCATGTAAACATACAAAAGAATAAGCGCGAATGCAAAGAAAATATTTTATGAGAGACGCGTTTGAATGTTAACCTGCAGAGGAAGAAAAGCTCCACCCGAGTCCACCAGGTAAACACAGGGCAGGCGATTCTGAATTGCGACTTCCTGTGCACGTAGCTGCTTCTTCACTGTGATTGGATACGCCGTGCCGCCCTTCACCGTGGCATCGTTGGCAATAAACACACACCACAGTCCGTTGATCCTGCCAATGCCTGAACAGAGACATAGAACGACACATACAGACAAAACACACGGGCAGAGGTCAGAGGCAAACATTTGTTTCTTACCTGGATTTTCATAAAGTGGAAAAACAAAGCCATAGGCTGGCTGAACTAAAGAGTAAGAGGAGTACATCGTGTGAACTTAGCTGTAGTCAAACTAATCACATGATACAGTCTATAGTTAGTACCAAAGATACAGATGCAGCTAGTGGTTTCTGACCAGTCAGGCAGCCGGCTGAAGGGATGTCTCCGTACGGCAGACCTAGACCAGCGAACGGTGACAGCTCCAGGAAGTCCTCGTCATCCAGCAGGAGCCTCAGGCGATCCCTGACCAGCAGCTTTTTGTTTCTCAGAGTGTGTCTGGCTACCGCATTATCCCCTCCACCTTTTCTAACCTTTTCACTCAACTCCACATACCTAACACAGGGAGGGAGAGACAAGGAACAGCAACGTCTTACAAAGTACTACAGTTAATAATGAAGTCGTTTTGAGTTGATCAGAGACGGAAAAAAAAGCCAGCCGATGAGAGCAGAGACATACTTCTTGTGGCAGGCGTTGCTGTTTCGGAGGTTTGCTTCATACACGTGTCGTTGGATGGGCTGGAGGGGCTGCTCCAGCACTGGGAAGGCACTGCGCAGAGATCTCCTCTTACGGGCTGCAGAGCTCATAAAGCGGACAGGACACTGCCAACGGGGATCAGACAGCCTGCAACACAACATGCAAACAGCAAGTGAATGCACTAAACACAGATTGTAAGTAAGTGTCTAGATTTTCAGATCAAATGTAGTGGCAGATGTCCTGTTCACAGCATGATCAAAACAAAGAGGTGACCGTCGTGGAAAAGTTAAACTGATGTGGTCACCTGTAGTGTCTCTCCTCTGTCGTGTTTCTCATCGTCCATGATGATGACGGGGTAAAAGGAGGCACAAAGACAGGACACACTCTTCCTCCGCTGCACACGCTCCTTTGAGGGTCACATTAGAAGATTACACAGACGTTCCCTTGATGGTAGTTTTAACAACTTGGAGCATGTTTACTAACTGTCTTCCGGCCTGTAAGGTAAATGAGCGCTGTCCCCTCACAGCTTTAAGATCATGGGTTGGAATCTGACACATTTGGACAAGAGGTGACTGCCAAAGAAAAGTGGGACTCGGTTCCAGCCCATATCACAATCTTCAGTGTTTTTTAAAAACTGAACTTAAATCATGACTCAAGGCAAGCCAATCATGTGATCACCGGTTAAAACTATGGCCCGACTGATGTGGGATTTTTGGGGCGAACATTAGGAACAAAAAAAAAACCTCGGGTACCAACATACAGTACAGCCAGATATCTTTCTTAGATCTTTCTTCGACCTTTAGAGATGGACAGATGTAGGTATACACACACGTTTATTGTGTTGTTCCCTCAAATGCATAATAAACATATAGTGCGCTTAAAGACTAAATTTGACTTAGAAATTAACAATTATCGGGACGCCGGTAGCCTAGTGGTTCTCCAAGCGGGCAGTCTGGGTTTAAATCCAACCTGTGGCTTCTTTTCCACATGTCATTCCCCACTCTCTCTCTCTCTCTCTCTCTCTCTCTCTCTCTCTAACTGATTTCAAACTTTATGGTTCTATCTCTAAATAAAGGCACAAAAAAAACTGAATTGAATAAACCTACTTATATCTGCATTTTTCTGACATTAAATTAGCCGATACAGATAGTCACATGATAATCCACTTTGCACTTTAATAACTTGAATTTCCATTCTGGTATGAGCTCTTGACTGATTTTATTGTGTTGTTTTTATTTGGTTTTCTATTTTGCTGTGTAGTCTGATTTCAAATTCAACCTTTAAATAATCCATCTCGAAGAAGAAGAGAGTGTGATGCAGTTTTGTTATATGTCGTTTCTTTTTGTGACATACTAATTGTAAAGTTGTGATGTTCTTAGTTGTTGTTTATCGACTTGTTTAGATTGCAATGTTTTTATTATAACAGCACTTCCTTCCCATCTGCTTTGCCCTTTCAAAATAAAACAATAAACTAAACTAATTAAAGATTAAAAGTATTACGTGTATGTCAACCTTGATGTGATTGAATGGACATCATTTTCAAAAGCAACATGAGCATAAACAAACAAACAACTTTAACTTGTGATATTCTCTTTTAACATAATATAACTATAAGCTGCAGGTTAAGCTTTACGTTACATGGTTCACTAATACGTGTTGTTCATATTTTTCTCGATTTCTACGCATAAATCTAAACAAATGACAGAGGATACTGTCAAACATTTGTCAAATACTGTATGGATATTTTCTAAAGAAAGACAAATCGTTCACAGCATGTAAATAAAATGTGTGCCAAAGGTCGTAAAGACATCTGAGTGCACTTCAAGTGATACATAAATGTCTGGATTTATGTAATATTATATTATTATAACGTCTCTTACCTCGCCATGTGTCTGTACATGTCTGTCTCTTCCCGGTTTATGACTAACTAATTAAACAAGTTATGTATTTGGCAAAATAATAAGCTTAAACAGCCCCCTTAAGGTAGTTTACACCTTTCTATACTAGCTCTACAGTAGCTACATTTTTCTTCGTCGGTTCTGTATCTGTTGGCGGTTTGAGAGCTGTCGTACATTACCGCCACCTACAGGAGAAGGAGGTGAAGTGCAGTGGAAATTCATTACATCCAAATAAAGTTTCAAAAAATATATATTTTCTGTACTTTATATGAGTATTTAAATTGTATGAACTATATTCAACAACCATTCAGAGCGGAAACATTTCACCTTTTTGTCTGGATAGCATTTATCTGACAACGGTGGTTCGGAGTTTCTGTACTTTATAAATTAAGATCCACAATAAGCATCCTTGTCGATTAAACTACCTCCCAGTATCTACATTTTTGAGCTGAACTGATCAGCTTATTATGTGACTTGAACTGGCAACCCTCCGGTCCCTACAGACTGAGCTACTGTCTGTTAATTTTTCATAGTCCCAGAATAATCTGTTGTTTTAGAAATTATCTGGCGAGGTTAATAGCAGGGATCATCATTACTCGGCATAACAATTTCAACCCTTCATATAAAATACTGAAAAAATATATGTAAGTGTATCACAAGTTAAATCCCCTTAGGACATCTATCGATCTATCTATATATCTATCTATCTATCTATCTATCTATCTATCTATCCTCTAATCACTGAAGCTGTAGTAACAAACCCTGACCGCTAGATGGTAATGTTCATTTACTAATTAACGACTTTGGCTTCAGTGTAAAGCGCATTTACAGGTGAGAAGGGGGAATCAATGCACAGCAGGTAAATGTCTAGCTCTACAAGAAGAAATTAATTAAATTAAATTAATTAATTATTCCGTGAGCAGACTCCCACATTGAATTCCTATAGGCCCCTAAATGTTTTTCTTTCTTTTTTTTTTAATCTATTGTTGTACATAATAGATTTAAAAATTATTATTGTTGATGTATATTGATTGTATATAATCACTACTGACCTTTTCAGATTTTACAGTAAGCTGTGTGAACAAGCTAAATGGTTTTAACAGGTAGACTACTAATTTGATTTTTATTATCTCTAGTTCTTGTGCGCATACTAACCTATTATTTAAAGATTACATTGATTTAAATAAGAATAAATAAAATATCTGATATCTGATATCTGAAGGCCATAACTCTGTACAACAGCTCACCTCATGCGAGCAGAGAACTGTCATCATGATAATATCTGTCTCTCCTTACTGTAATCTGTTCTGCACATGTTAAATTTACAAATTATCCCTGCACTCATGTTCACTTCATTTGTCTGTCTACTCGCCGTTATATTGTATAGTTTCTGCTTATAATATGTCTGCACTCATGCACTTTAACTTATGTCAGTACTGTCCATTTACAACTCTGTTTTTGGCATTTTTACATTTAATCTTTCATGTTTAATTTACATCCATTTACGACTCTGTTTTTGCACATTTACATTAAATCTTCCATATTTAATCTTCCTATTTGAGACTAGTAATGCTTAGTTAAATCCTGGTTGTATATATTCCCATTCTTAGTTTTGATATTTTTAGTGCTTTTTTACTCTGTAGTTAATATTATATTATGTTTAGATTTGCTGACATTGTGTTTTTTTACTCATACTGTGTGTTTGGATAACCTGCTGCTGTTTCCCACAATTTCCCAGTTTGGGATCAATAAAGTAATTCTATTCTATATATATATTACAATATCTGAAAAGCCTTGTTTTTAAACATCTTATTAGGCTACTTAAGTGTCCTTTGTTATTGTCATACATTTATATGAAGCATATTGAATCATTTTGTTTGTGTAAAATAACAAGATGTTCCCATTTTCTCTCTTTTTGTTTGGGATTCTAACCTCTAACTTAGTATTTCTGTGGTCCAGGGCCCCTGGTGTGACCGGCCCTGTAGAGAGGAGGAGGAGGAGGAGGAGGAGGAGGAGGAGCAGGGGGAGGAGGGGTGTGTTTGTCGGGCAGACACAGTCAGTCAGTGTGGACCGGGAGTCTCAGCGGCAGTTTGGGGAGAATCCGAGCCGGGAAAACTGCGTCAAATACGGGGATAAGTCAACAGGGTGGAATCCGCAATGAGTTGGGGAACGGAGCTCTGGGTATGTCTGAACTCCTTAAACTGACTTTAACTGCGGTCTTTTCTTTTGTGTTGGAGGGGCACGGGTACGACGTTGACTTTGTTTGGGACACGGAGAGGGAGAAAGGTGCCGTGTTACCTTTTTTTTTTTTTTTTTTTTTTTTAGCTTTGTGTTGTTGAATCGTTAGCATTAGCTTTCCCCCTCCTGGCTGTCCTGCTGTTAGCCGGCGAGTGCTAAAGCTAAAGCTAAAGCTAATCCACCTTAAGGGCTGTGACAGCGGCGGAACAATAGGGCAACATAGTCTGCAGACAAGCTGCGAGGAAACCACGGGACGGGGCCGGGGGGTGGGTGTGTGGTGGGGGGTCAGCATACCCTCTCTGCCTGATTAACTGTACACTTAAAACATATATCTCCCACTTTAATTATGTTTTACATTTAAATAGCAAGTTATAAAGTAGTATGTTGATGTTTTGTGTGTGTGTGTCACACCCTGTTCAATGAGAGGCTGGCAGGGATTCCCGGTAACAGGGTGGTGTATTCCGTGTGGAGAGACCACCATCCTCTTGCTCCCTCTTCTCATAATCAACCATAATTAACAATGATTTTTATTTATTTTTTATCACTCACTAATTAGCCATTATAAGTCTCTTTGTTGCCAGTTTCCCCAGCGTGTTTTCTTCACTGCCATGTGATTAGTTGGACTCTCAGCCCTTATAAAACACCTCAACATTTGCTGCAGCTTCCCTCGTTATAACTCAACAATAGCCCAATGTAAATCACAATATCTGCTGTAAGATGTATATATACATATATCTATCTATATACATATAAGGTCCTCATTAAATCATCAAACAGGAGCTCTTAGTGCTGCAACATCAGAGTGATGAATACTTAATTTGATAAGCTCCTTGTCTTAAACTACAGGCTTGTTAGATTGTTTTATTTTATTTGCTGACGTTGTGGTGGAGCATCAACCTTTGATTTTTGGGGTGTTGGCCAGGCCATGGCAAAGCTGCTGTAACCAGAGAGGCAACCAGCAGCATCCTGTGTGTGTGTGTGTGTGTGTGTGTGTGTGTGTGTGTGTGTGTGTGTGTGTGTGTGTGTGTGTGTGTGTGTGTGTGTGTGTGTGTGTGTGTGTGTGTGTGTGTGATGCTCCTCTAACTGACCTCAGTGGTTTATTACCTGCAGTTTAATATGTACCAATTTTTGCTCACTCGGCCCTCAAAAATGTAACTGAAGGTTTGTGCTCCTCTGTGATCGAAACAGATTTTGTACAAATGAGGATATGACTTGTCCAGATTTCAGTGTCTCCCCCCTCCATGTGTAATCAGTGGAGATTCAAGAGTCTGTTGGGGCCCTAGGCAAAAATAAATTGCGCCCTCCAACCAGCGTTCATCACCGTTATGTCCCCATGCGTACTCTTCTTCCTCTTTTTTTTTTTCTCTCCTTTAGGCGGATAATTCCTCTTCTTTTTGCTTTGTTGACCCAGGCCCCTACTGGTCTGGGGCCCCAAGCAGTTGCCTGCCTTGCTTGTTGATAAGCAGCGCCTCTGTGTGTAATCCATATTTATACATTTTTATGGTGCTTTATTTTGTCCGCTGTGGTAGTTTTTGTTTCACTTTGACCGTTGTAGAGACTGGCTAGTCAACCTTTCAGGATGAGATATTTCATTTACTTTTAAGTCTCTTTCTAAATCTATAAAATAGGTTTCAGTCATTTTTTTAAATCAGAAAAGTGAAAGATAACACTACTGCTACTAACATTTGATTCAGATTTGTGAAAAAATGGTCCTCTTTTCACTGTGTCTTATTATTATGTACTTTCCAGCTCATCTGGTTTCATTTTATTTAAACTGATGAAGCATGTATTGCAATTGAAACATTACAAAATCAAATTTTGATCCATTATATCCAAAGGAGAACCACATCTTCACACATTGTACAAGATGTGTGTTTGCATATGTAGCTCAGTGTGCAGAAAGCAAAATATAATCAGAATCAGAAAATACTTTATTAATCCCAGAGGGAAATTTGGTATTGTTTTATTTAATACAAGAAGTCCTCTAAACATGGTGTATTTGTAAAATTATGTATACCCTGTAATTTCTCAAAAGCTCTGGGACATTAAAATATGGACAGTAATGAGATAAACAAAGCTGAATTAAATTTCAATTAATTCAAAATCAGTATTTTTAATACGTGCAAAAGTAAAGTAGTGAAACCAACATGAGGAGTCCATCTCAATAAATGAAAAGATTACATGAGTATTTGAAAAAAAAACAAAGCAAAATGGCTCATCAAGGATGTTTCATTCATTCATTCATTCATGAATCATCTTCTTCCTCAGTGCCGGGTAGAGATGCTGTCTAAAGGCCGTCATAATCCCCCCAGAGTCCATCAGGAGCTTTACGCGTCGGCCGTCCGATTACACATGATTGGCTGTCTGATTTCAGATTATGGATTATCGTCCGTGTGATGTGATTTAAAAACAGATGATTGCCTGTTGTGTCTTACACATGACTGACTTTTTTAAATACCAGCCGTATAATATGCGTCATTGTCTGCCTAATTTCATTTTACAGACCGTGAACCTATACAGGGGGTTTAGCTGTACAACAGTACAGATTACAACTGTTGGATGAATCCCATTAATATGACGCCTAGGTTATTGTTTATAAAAAAAAAAAAGAGGCTTAAGCGTGTTGATAATGTAAATAGTTTCCCCATCAGGGTGTGATTATTTATTATCTTTATTAAGGTCTTATCCGCCTATTGTTTCCTTGAATAATCTCAGAGAGTAAGATAATGTTGGTACACTTGATTCTTTATGATACTTTATGGAAGTTTAACAGGGCAAGGTTCCAGCTTTTTTAATAATATTTAAATATCTGTTCACTTGCTCTGACTACATAACACACTCTTGGTGTTTTTCGTGTCATTAGATATTAAAAAAACAACAACATTTAAATGTTTAATAAGTGGGAAAATATTGCAATATAATGCTGCATAATCCCTGTTATATATGTTTCATGTTGCATGTTTCTTGAGCGTTTACAGTGCTGTAGTCTGTTACTGGTTTCAATGTGAGAAAATATCCAAAAGTCCAATCACAGTTTCTGAATAAATGGTTTTTAATTTCTTGTTTTATTGTACAAAGAGCTCAAAATTAAATAATTGCATGCAAGTAATTCAGGCAATCTTTACATTTAGGACACTTATACCAGCTAAAAATATTTTATTTGAAAATAATTGATCTGCTAATTATGAATGTGAAAATGGTTAAAGTTGTTGCTGGTTTCCAGGCGCTGGATGTCCTATAGCGGTTAGGTCACGCCCCATGTGAGGAGGCGACAAGCAGGCGGAGCATATGATTTTAAATAAACTTGTGATTCTTAGATTTTTCTTGTTGGCAATGCAACATCAGGAGACTGCAAACAAATGAATGCATCATTTTAACCAATAATTATTGCATCTTTCTACTCCAATCAAAAGGTATAATTCATAAATAGCATGATCTAAATAGAAAGCGCCTCGCACATAAGGCGGTTTCAGAAAATGCAGTTTAGTTTGGGCGCCTTCGCTTTTGCCCGGCGTTCTGGCTCCGGCTCAGCTCTTTGAGACATCACAAAGCAAGCGAGGAACATCCTATTACCGCTCTGGCTTCCAGCCCTCGGAGACACACACATAGAGTAGGAAGTGTTTGTCTGAATTGAAGCTCTGTGTGCGTTTTGTGTGTGTGCCGAGTGCCAGGATGCCGCCATGCTGTGCTGTGGTCTGCCTGGTGGAGGTGAGCCGGAGGCCAGCAGAGCGGAGCAGCCAAGTGTGAAAGTCCGGCTTCTCCACCGACCGGCCAAACTGAAAGACAAAGATAAGAGGATAATGGATGCAGAGGTGGAGGAAAGTGGGCAGACTCTGAACGGCTGGCTAGACTTTTGAGTTTACTTTGAGGTCTGTCAGCTGGTAAATAAATGGGGCACTTAAGAGTGATTGTGGAAAGTCGGCTTCAGAGCACTGAGCAGGGTTTTACCCTTCTGAAGTGTTTGCTTCTCCCTTGGTTGTTTGTATTTGAAAAAAGCTTATAACGTCTTCCCTCTGGTGTCCTAAGGGAGGTTTTGTTGGAGTACGCGGACACTGGGGGTATGTTTGTATCATTTGATACTGAAAAGCAAAGTGACAGCCAGATTCGGGTCTAAACGGCTCAACATTACCGCTCCTATTTTTGATATTTATAGACATCAGACTACAGTAGACAAAGGTCTGGAGGGATATCTGTTTACCATGTAGCTTCTTATCTTTTAGTCAAATGTAGAATATATTTGCAGGAATTTTTATGGCAATGCAAAAGTAGACACAAACTTGTATATTGAAATATTGCTCATTGCAACCAAGCCTTTTAGATGTTATTTAACTGGCAGAACTCAAACTGGCAACAGTGGTAACAGATAAATAGTTCAAGTAATTGATCAAATAAAAAATGTCATACAAAAACCCTACCTCCACCATCGGACCGTATCGTCCCTCAACCACCGCCCAATGCCCAGCCTCCACCATCGGACAGTGTCGTCCAAACCAACAACCGACGCCCAGCCACTAACATATGTGTATTGTGTGTTTTTATCCGGCTTTCCATTCCCCAAATTTGTTGACTATACCTCCTATTTTTTTGGATGAGCTCCCAGGCGAGTTGAGCCGATCCTTAAAGGTGTAGAGCAGTGTAGTCGGTCCAATTGTATGATCATGTTGGAGATGATTAAATCTATAAAGTTGATCCTTCTGTGATGCAACCTGCAGATTGGTCCGGATTGACATGAAGCATGGAAATGGTAAACATTGTTGTTTTTAAACCAGTTATTGAGAGATAGAGACTTGATGAAAATAACAATGTGATGGTTTCTGATTCTATGTATCCAGAGTCAGATTTAGTAAATCTACACAAGGAACTCGACTCTATAGTTTATACGACTCTCTTTGTACTGACACAAATATGTACTATGGCTATAGTGCAGTGAAAAAGAGTGCAAA